AGGGGTTAGCTTTCGACGATGTAGCGGAAGACCTCTGCGATGGTGCCATAGTGGTTTCCCTAATTTGGTCATTTCACCCAGGAATTTTGCAACATTTGTGCAGCTATACTCCACGAAAATTTACCTTTCCAAATGGGCGTGGTGGTCGAAATGTTTACTTATTTGCTGTCTGATTAAGGTGTGCTAGTTTACCCTGAACAAATGCCAGCCTAGTTTGTCTGTGATCATATGATAAACCGCATGACTCCAAAATTGTTTACATTTCAAATACAGTTCTGTTATTTTAGCTATTATTCCTGTTCGTGTGGCTGTCGAGTCGGTGTTGTGGTTTCTGTTGGATCAAAGTAAGGCAAATGTCGTTGCCAAATCGTACGTTATTTAGGGGCTTCAGTAGTCAAAAAGGATTTTTTTTATCTAGTCCGCTCTAATGCGGACGTACATTACCTGTTATACGAGAATCAATATAGTAGCGGAAGGACAGTTTTTTGACCACAACATCACTTAACCCTTGAAAACAAATATTAATTTTTTTCATTTTTTTTATTGGTAAGCCTTCTCCTATACTTTCCTACAAGGGCACGCATGAACTGCAATGTATGGCCTGTTTATTTAAGCGCCGCATGTGATGATAGTGCTAGGCGTTCATTAGCTTTATCCCATTGTAGATGGTAAAACACAAATGCAAGTGGCCGTTTTACACTCGGCGTTTTAATGATCCAACAATGTATCCTCTGCAGGCGCCAGGCGGATCTGGGAGACAAGTACACTGTCGAAGAGTGGAGCGCGTGCTACTTCTGATTTAATAGACTACATTGCCCGTGAAAGGCGGCATGCCACGACAATTATGGCATTAGAGGTTCTGCCACTTTTATTGACCCAAAGTACCGTATAACCAAAGCAATGTAATGGTTAGAAAGTGAATTTTACAAGTTTTGACAATTAGAAGGCTCTTCCCAATGCTAGATAAGAGAAGATGTAGCCAAATGTTACTAATCTGCTAATGGGTTATTAGGGGTTGTTAATGTGAACTGTTGATTTGTTGGTAGCCACAATCAGTGAGTTAGGGATGGCAACCAGACCTCAGTTGAACCCCGTGGAACTACTCATATCCTAGCCCAGCATGGCCGTTGTCGCGTAGTCCTCCATTGCCATGTTAATTACAAGCTCCACTGTGTTAGCTGGGCCATGGGGAGCTGTTTCCATTGCTGTGAGTCTGGTGTAGCAACCACTTGGCACGCCCAGTATGCATACACCAGTAGTCGACCCGACTTTCAGTTCTCCTCATTGTCGCCTCATGACGTAGCCAATTTCAGTTGATGCGATACTGCAAGTGGGCCGAGCCGTAAGCCCTGCTGAAGGATTTGTTGGGCTCTGATTGAAGCGCCTCGACTATACGCAAGGCTGAATGACGGGCAGACAAGACTACTGGCAAACAGTGGTCATCTTTGGTAGGGTGATGTTGCCATTGAGCTGAAGGGCTGCGTACGAGATGCTGATGGCTCGAGCGCTCTCTGTTACGATTTTGTGACTTATTGAGGATGCATTACTTCTTTGGCTGATTGTCTGGTTATTTAGTTGCTTGAACTACTACATTGGTTTGGGGTTGGATTGCACTCATCACTAGGAAGAAATCGTCTCACTCTTTGTTTTTGCTTTTCACCGATTTCGATGTAAGGGCAACAAGCTTGTCCAACGTCAGTGACGGAACAAATTTTGATTATTGCTCTGCCTATTAAGGGATGAACTACCTGATTTCATTGGAAAACTTCGCCGTATTTACTTTGTTCTATTCAATGTCTAAGATTATCTAATTGTGACCAGCGTGAATTTCTGGCTAAAGTATATTTTAGAGTAAAGAATAAATGGAGTTCGAAAATGTCGTCAAATATTTAGTCGTGTACTTTTACGTACATGAGAAGTTCTTGTCCAAGGGACTCAAACGATGCTTCCATTTTTTGTTTCGCTGCACCTATAAATATGGCTGCGTCTTCTTGTATGTCATTTAAATGAAAATCAGGCATTACCTCCCCACGTTTATGCCATGACACACATAGAACTAGCGATAGATTTGCCACTCCACTATGGCAGTAT